AGTGAAGAATCACAAACATGGCTGGCATACAGTAGAGGGGGCCTACTGACAAAAACTTATTCAAATCAGTAACTCTATGGATTCACTAACGCCTGATCAAAGACCTTGAACTCAATCAAAGAAACCTCACGGTTCAACTTTCCCAGTTGGATATTACAATACATGCACAGAGTGCAGAGATCATGGATAGATAAACATAGCTATATAGACAATCATACAGACAGACAGATAGAAAACAAACGATAAAATAGACAGAGCAGCATCTACTGAGGAATCTAAAACCATAACTCTTTATCCATCCATCCATTATCTATGCCGCTTATCCTAACGAGGGTTGGAGGCTGAAGCCAATCCCAGCTGATATTGGGCAAGAGGCGGGGTTCACGCTGGACAGGTCGCCAGTCCATCGCAGGGCTGACATGAAGACAAACAACCACACACACACACACACACACACACTCACTCCTACTGGCAATTTAGAGTCACCAATTAACCTATGCTGCCTGTCTTTGGACTGTGGGAGGAAGCCGGAGCACCCGGAGACAATCCACACAGGCACAGAGAGAACATGCAAACTCCACACAGAAAGGCCCCGGGTCGACAGGGGTTCGAACCTGGAACCTTCTTGCTGTGAGGCGACAGTGCTAATCACTGCCCCACAATACTGCCCTATAACAATTTCTAACACACAGTAATAAACATGACTATGTAAGGAATTACCAGACAAAAAATTGTTCCTGCATCATAAAAGGGTAAAAATAAATACACTTGCCATTGTGGTGTACAATGGAAGCAGACTAGTTTACAAGAAACCCTCCCTATGTTGATGTACTGTAACAGAGAGTAAGGAAAACTGACATCATTAAGATTCACTGTGCAAGCACAACAACACAAGCAGACCTCCTCCAACCCCCAGATGACTATCAAGCACTGTGTTTCTAAGCATGGAGGTAATGAGACAAATACTTATTACTCAAGTAAAAATGGCAAGAATATTAGCCTCACATTAGGCCCTGAATTTAATGATGTTGTAAGTGCAAAGTCACAATAACTAAGAGGCAAAAAAACTTTAAACACTGTATAGAGAAGAAGGAGAAAATATGGAGAAAGCAGAGTCTATTTCAGTGCAGTTTCTCATATAGACATGCCTAAGCGTGGGTGGAGTTATGAATGAGAAAATGATACAATATCTAAAACAGTCATAACTGAGCTTAACATGCCATTGCATGGGATGATGGGATGTTGAAGTGAGACATAATTTGAGGTCATTATAAGTCATGACTTCAGTTAAGTGAATCAATGGCGACAGTTCAGTGAGAAATGGGACCATCAGTACTCACTAAAGGGGTGCAAGGGGTCCAATATTCAGGGTTCAGCTCAGCTCGTGGACGAAGGTCCAGATATTCAGGGTTCAGTTCAGTTCGGGCACGAGTTAATGTTCCCTTCATGGAAGATTGAGAAAAAGGCTGTTAGAATTGCTTGTTTAGGACTGTTTGTCATTTGTCATACATATAGCTATGGAAGAAGACTTATCCAAATATGTTTCACCACAGTGCAAATAAAAGTAAACACTATAACAGTCTAATGTTCTTAAAAAAATGTAAGTCGTCGCTTTTATTAAACCAGTTTTACTGCCCTCAAATGAGCTTGATTCTGTACTGTCTTTGCTGAATAGATAAACTTTATTAACTACAATGCCTTTCACAGTAGAGGAATTAAAAATGCCAAGTCAACATTCCATAATGAATTTTCAACAGTAATTCCTATAACATGAAAAGCAAATTATATTTCAAATGAGGTTAGAATGCAGTTTTCCATTGCTGAGGCCCTATGGCCTAAATGACAGGCCGGTGGAATGGGCTGAATCTGCTGGGCCCCATGAGGTCTATGATGTATACTGTAATTATCTGCTGATTCTCAAAATGGCTGTGTGTAATGAGGCTATGCTGCATGAAGCCCCAGGCATAAATCACTGTCTTTAACACGACTTCCAGATGACCAACAACAACGCAGAGCAGAAGCAGAGAGAAAGGAGGGAATGGGTTATCTGAGCAGCTATATAGCATCCAACTTGTGCTTCTTATCAGCACAGCCCATATTGTTAGCCAAACTTGCTTACATAAGACAGTTTCCTGACTCCTAAAAATAGCCAGCTCACTTGCATATTCTGTATTCTCAGGTAATTATCTATTTACAGTTTGGCTTCCAATATATTAACTGTTTACAGCTGTATAGTATTTAGCCATGCAACACAGGTGGGGGCTTTTTATTGGTGCTGTGTGAGGCTCAGCACTGTTGAATGGCAACACGCCAGTTGCTTAATCAGGCTGTCATTGGCATGTAACAGATTCCATAGTCTCTCTCTCTCTCTCTCTCACACACACATACACACACAAACATAAACAAATAAACCGCTACCTGCCACAACACACACCCACGCTCCACTGTAACTTGGGTAGTTAACTTTAGGTGGCACTCCAAACCAATGACTATTAGGCACACAAATCAACTGAGAGGCATTTTAAGCAGTTGGTCAACATAACCTCATACCATTTTCTTATTTTGCCAGGTACAGCATGCAATAGTGCATTATTTATTTATTATTTATACAATAGTTGGTTTCACCATGGCAAGGTGGTAACACTGAAAATGCCTCAAAATGTTGCTGTGTTTTTTTTTTATTGGGAAAAAAACCCAAACTGGAAGTGTTGACTTATTGTTTGAAATACTTTGGTGTTTAAATTAACATTCTATTTCTAAAAATGTGCAATGACCCTTTTACTAAGAAACTTTTCTTACAACAGTGTTCCTCGCAATTTTCTTCCAATTATTGGAGAAAGACAAGGGAAATAGGTGAAAAGTGGCTGAGCAATACTCAGAACCTTTATCTCATTATGCATCTTAAAATATTCCACTTGTCCGTCACTCTAATTAATGGCAGTCCTTCTCCATAAACCGCCCAGAATGGGAGATTATTTATTAGTACCTAGCCATTTATCATCAGTGTGATAGGTGACAGAGAGAGGAAAGCGAGAGCTGGCAACATTATAATTGATCATTTTTCACTCCACAATGTCAGAGTGATAGTGTTAAATCCTTGTGTGACATTGTCAGTGCTGACTACAAAAATAAGGTGCATGAATTAAACAAGTTATTAAGATTGATTGAGTGCTGGCAGTGACATGAGGTTCCGATACACTTTCCATTACCTGAACTGGCAAAAAGTAGAACATTATAGATCGAAATGCTGCAGCACCAGACAAACAGATCATTAAAATGATGGGAGCACAAAGAAATTAGGATTCTACTTTTGTCTTTAAATTTTCTGCTTTTTCTAGTACTTGTGGCACAATTTGGTGATGTGCACATCTTTCCACTTCATTTACCTAAATATGAACATTAAAATTGATATTTGGGTTATATTATTTGTCAGGTAATGTCATTTGTCAGGCAATTGAAAACATACAAATAAATTAAATGTAATGTTATATCTAAGATACAGTTATCTTCAAGAAATACAGTAGGTGATTTGGTTTTGGGGGGTTAACAATGATTTACTTTCCAATTTCACTGAACCAGCTGAGAAGCTGAAGCGGCAGAGGGTGGCATGACTGATGGAGACTCCCCCACTGAACGTACTGGAGCAATTTGCAGAGCTTTACGGTTACATTACAAATGAAAACTAAAATGAGACTGAAAACTATACTGCAATAGAGGCTGACGAATACATTTTACGGTGTAGGTGGGACTGGCATTCACCGTGACCGGTTACATCACAACAGTCTCGACAAAAAAAGCCCCTCCCAAGAAGAAAGTGATCTCCTTGTGTGGGAGATAAGCATAATGAATAAGTGAATATATGGCACCTTATACCTGAGTGGGAGGATATAAAGCAACACTTTTGCCTTCTGTGTTGTTCATGTCCCAGAGAAACAACTGCTCAATACAACAACAGGTTGAAAGACAAAGCCACTCAGTGGTGGACAGTAGGGATGGTTTGACAAAAGGAAAGGGCATCTACCAGCTGTTTCCTGACATCCTCAGAAGGTGCTGACACTTACAGATTTCTCATTTCACACATCCTAGTGCACAGTCTTTCCTGGATGAAAATCATTCATGGCTCAAACACATTTTTACAGTTATAAAGGAAAAATGGTATATGACTTGTATTTTTTTTTTTGCTGCTAGATGGATTGACAGGCAAAACACAGCATACACACTGGGAAAGTTGCCATTTGTCACATGGCTGGAACACATTAACAGACAATGTAAATCATATCTATGGGCAATTTAGACGTTGCAGTTTACCTAAACTGCAAGTCATTGAACTGTGGGAGCAAAGCGGAGCCTGAGATGCACACGGATTCAAAGCTAGATCCCCTTTGCTTTAAAATGACAGTTGTCACCAATGAACCACCGTCCTAAGCACTACAAAAGCGGTACATATGAAATTTAACACAGTCAAATTCATAATGAGTCACTGAGATATCAAATGGGCACCAGCAGGAAAACACTAGAAACCACTATGTATTCTATCATGAAATTAAAACCCTTGGTGTTTTTGCCAAATACTGTGTCCAAAAAATGTTTTCCACAGATGAGTATTTCTAAAAACTCTAAGCACTTGTATTGTAGGACATGCTGTTAGCTCATTGTTTGGGAGGGATACACTAGTGGTTTTTGATGGGCTCCTTCTCTCATTTCTATGGACATTGAATGCCCCTTACTGTAGGCTGCCTTTGACAGAAGCATCTGCCAAAAGAATGATGTATAGAATGTGTAGTTTTAGTGTTGCTTTGGATCACATTGGTGACAATGACTAAAATGAACCTTTATGACCAGAATGTAAAGGTAAGAATAACAACATATTGCTAAAAGTCTTTGTGTAACTGTAAAGCTGCTCTGTTGAACTTGCCTGTACATTGTGGGTTGAGTTTCATCTGAGGATAAAACACACTTTAATTAGTTTTACCATTAGTCTAGCCCTACCAAGCTTTCCCCAGCCACACCAGAACTTTAGTTCTCTTTAATTACCTTAGAGATATCACTGTTTATACTCTTCCTTGACATCACAAGGCACCGTATGTTTCTCAACAAATGTTTTGTGTGTGTGCTGCCAAGAAAAGAACATGAAGTTAATCTTGTGACTAGTCATCAGTGACTCATGAGGTTAAAACAATACATTGCTGTTTTATGGATGACTCATAGGCAGCTCACATCAAGATATAGTTTATGCAGAATTAGTATGATGCATAGCTAAATAAACATATTTGATAGATCACATATTTGATCAGATTTAAATTCTAAAAGCATTGGAGGATTTCAAGTACAAAACTGGCAAATGGAGAGCAAACTGAGTACTCTTATATTGAATATACATATCTGTATAATATATATCTGAAAATACTGAATAATAGTAGTGTTAATAGTTAACACTTCTAGCACAGTAAAATCAATCAAAGCATCATCTGACTTGTCTCTGGAAATCGCCCAGTATGGGTTAATATATTATGGCTCTAATCACCTTGTGCAGGCACAACTGTCTCCTTCTTAGTAGCCTGCTGACTTATAGTCTGAGCTGTGGCAATGCAAATGAGCCCATAAAGTGGCCCTGTGTGAGGAATCTTCCTCTTGACATCAGATGGAGATCAGCTGGGCCGCGTTGTCTCTTATTCCCCAATCAAATCCCTACATCATACCAAAATAAATAATTTTATTTGTTAGTTTTTACATTGTGGCCTACGATGTTTTGCCTGGACTCATCACTGAGCAATAAAACGAAAAACAAAGGAGGAGTACAACAGTGGTGAGAGGAGAGGATTATGAGGTTTGGACATAAGGAAAGAAAATATGCAAAGAAAAATGGGATGGAGGGAAGGAAATTGGTGATGATTAGAAAGTGAGAGCACACAACAGCATGCTACTAACTTATCTATATTAAGCTGTTGAGATGGCAGGGGTGAGAAAATCTTTGATTATTATTTTTTGATTTACAAAGCTGCACTGTGATTGGCCCTTCCTTTGGTGGCGGCATTAAACTTTATGTTTATGGGTCCCAGTGTTAAGCCCATTTCCACGCTCCCCATTCCACAGACTAAGTATTGACATTCCATTTAGGCTGACGACAGTGAGGAGGGTATTTTATGACGGAAATCTAATGGAAATGCATGCAGTAGGTATTGCGGTAAAAAATATCACCCAATTACAAGGACATCTTTGCATAGTTGCAGACTAAAGAGGATATGCATGATGCACCTCTGCTTTGTTCAGAAAGAACAAAGGGAAAGACATTCATCTCAGTCCTCCACCCCTCCACTCCCTCTGCTCTATTAAAACACATACAAAAATGAAAGCTTACTCTGCATATATCTGTGTGATGACAAAAATGAATATAGATTATATTTGATATGATATCTAATTACACAAGTTTAAATGTGCCGCT